ATATGCAAATTGACAACAGAGTGACAGGCTTAAGGTATTACTGTATGTGCTTTTCAGTATTTATATCATCATAGTTTATGTTTGATCACATGGCATGCAGGAAAGGAGGGGAGAGACAGAGAGGAGTCAAGGCATGCCACACATGCTGCATTATTTTTAATATGTTCATTGATCAGTCCAGTGAGAAATCTAACCATAATGCTATTTATCAAACACAATTTACAACTTCTTATTTGCTTCGTGCAGAAGAGGGTGTGTACGTAAGACTGATACAGTACATTGATCTTTCTGATTAAAAATACATGAATACGTTTTTTTTAAAACTGAAAAAGCTTGATGAAGGGATCATTTGGCTTCAAAAGCCAGAAAAGATTCAAAGTACTTCTTCAGACAGTTTTCTTTTCAACCATCAGTCCGGACTTATTGATTTTGAAGGAGTAAATCCAAGTCAAACGCCCTCAAACTCTATGATGAGTAAAGAGTAGTTAGAGGGGAATTTAGAACTATATTTCAGTTAATTATGTTGCTTCTGTTTACTTGAATGATGTTTACATGTGTTTAGCTATGGAAAAAAAGTGGCATATCTATTAGTGAGATAAGGTCAGTAATGGTTGTAGTGGGCTCTATAAAGAGACACTTTAGAGGGGTGTCACCTGTAAGACAGGAGATGTGAAGAAATTAAAAAAATATTTGCTTACTGTATGCAAAAATTCAAAACAATTCAATATTATTTATCAGCTCAATCCATTGGTGTTATTGAGTGTTATCAATGAGTTGCAAATACAATGCCGTCAGGCAGTCAAGCCACTATTACTTGAGGTACTTAAAATGTCTCTGGAATATTTTTGGCATTGCACACGAAATCAATTTGCATCCCATGTCTTGAATCAAATACCACAATTGAAAAAAACGGCATTTTGGGACTGGCCCACCCAATAAAACAGATGTGGTTTAAGTAAATGGTAATGAATGGAAAATGAACTTGTAGTGTAACGCCTTTCTAGTCTTCCGAGCACTCAAAGCGCTTTAACACAACATGTCATTCACCCATTCACATCCACTAATACTGATGGGCAGGGGCCATGCAAGGTGCCACCTGCCCATCAGGACTAAATAAGCATTCATACCCACTCACACACCGATGGCACAGCCTTGGGGTTAACATGGTAGACATGGACTAGAGGAGCCGGGGGATCGAACCACCGATGAGTAGCGATGACATTTTGACACAAAGAGCTGTAACACTACAGTTTACGACAGAGGGACAGAAATGAAAAGGCAGGCGCTTTAAAAGCTTTGGGAGGGATTTGGATCCAATAAGCCATGTGAGGATTAAACCATGTTAATGCAATGCCTAAACAAACTGGACACACACACACACAAACACACAGGGAGAGGGTGGCATGTGCGCAGAATGACAGGAATAAGTGTAGTATGGTAATGTGGTAACACAACACTGTTGTTGCAGCATTTACACAATACCATGTCAGCTTATTTGTAGGTACTTTAAGTCCTGCATTCAGTCTGGAATTGAGTCAGATCAGTCACAGTAAAAGTATCAGTGTCCTTCAAAGGGGATGGTACCTTTGACCCCAACGTTACAAACTGAACTGATACACCTGTTTGTAAAAGCACCAGTCATACATTAGGTCTACTTTCCCCAGTGGAGGTCTCACAAATGAAGCAAGAGAACAAGCCATACAAAAGCCTCCCATCTAATCGAAAGACTCACTGTTCCAGGATACGGCCCAATAATGAGAACAAACGAAGCATTTTACATCTAATACACATGTCTTGCAGTAATATCAGCACTTTTGTTCTTTTGGCCACAGTAGATTTAGCATTCTAGAAACAAGTTTTAAAAAGCTCCTTGCATGAGGAGCTGCGCTGCAACTTCATTTAAGCCAATCCAATGCTTTAATGCTAATGAACGGAACAAAGTGTTCTCATGAGAGAGTACACTCCCCTGCAGAACTGCAGCCTCGGTGCTGGCCTGCGGTGCACAGCTGTAAGACAAGAGGAGTAATCTAGTAGAAAAGCTTACAGTAAGTTGAAGTATTCCTGGCCATACAGTAGAGGGTAAAGACTATTTGGTGTTGAACCCTGTACTAGATAAACAAACAATCAATGTTATCAGTATGTGCGTGATTTCTTTCGTAACTGTATGTAAGAAGTGATAGTAGTCACTTGACGGATTTAAAGCCTGCAATTCAGCATTTTGTCCGATGCTATCTCTTTTTTTGCAACCAGAGGTGACACGAGAGAAGACATTTTCAGGCGACCAAAACGTTTTAATTAAATTTCATGAACTGAAAACACATTGTGAAGGGGTTAAAGTTAGAGAGGGAAACACAGACAACTCCCAGACAGGCAATGCCTTGTGAGTGACCTGTCAATCACAATGAAGCTACGCCCTAAAGCATACCCTGCTTTATTGTCTGTTTTAGTTGCCGTCTGGTCAGTGTACATAATGCTACATGAAAAACATCTATTATTTGTCCCTGTGTTAGCGGTTCCTATGGAGGCTTATTTAAATAATATAATAGTGCTGGAATGATCAATTAATGTATCAGCGTTAGTTGGAAGGACATCAAGGTTATCAAGAATCATTTTTATATTTGATTAATCATTGAACAGTCATTTATCAACCATTTTATATTATTGAGTGTCTTGATATATAAAAGAAAACCTTAATAACATCAACACTTCACCGTGGATAAAATGCAACACTGTGCATTTTGGGAGAGATCAGATCAGGTCAACATGTCTCTCTAAAATGTAGTGATTAATACTTTTCAATGATCCTACTATAATGCCATATTTTCAGAACCATAAATGCTCCCTGTAGCCAGTACTACCATGTGAAGCTATTTCTCTAAAGGAGAAAAGGAAAAAGATAAATATGCAAGCTGACAGCAAACTCACCTCGGTTTAAAAGCACAAATATTTGATGCACTTCTATAGAAGCTTCGTTACAAACACAAACACTCATTCGTCTCTGCCCCGTCGGTCTTACATACTGATGATGCTTTACATAAACAAGGCTCGATAAATACATGCACTTTGTCTAAGACAGACAGAAACTGCATAACTGTACGACAATAATCATTTGAATTTCAAATGATATGTTTTATGCATGTGCACTGCTACACTTCACATTAAACACTGAATTCAAATGTCGTCATTGGAACTCAAGCTCATTGTTCACTTTCACCATCTAAACTCAGAAAATACACTTTGTTTATAATATCTCATTAACACTAAATGGAGTGTGATGAATGGTGGTGCTTCTTTGCGTGTAAAAAAAAATGCATTTACATACAAACAATATTAACAGAAGTTAATAATGCTGTCTGGAACATCTGGGTGATCAGCTAAGTGAAATGCTGGTTCAAATCCTTTGAGAGTATTAAAGGGTTTGCTCTGAGTGTCCTTATGTGTCAATGAAAGATGGTTGTGTTATGTAAATTACTGCAGCAAAATGCATTTGGAAACTAAGTAGAAGCAGCTTTGACTGAAGTGGAATATAACAGACGTGTCTTGGTTCTGATAATGCATATTGTTTGTGTTGTTTTTCCATTATGAAGAGACGACTGATAACGCTTTGGATTAGGCTTAAAATGTGTGAAGGGATCATTTTACAGTTATTTCAAAAAGCTGTGATTGGTTGAAATTTCTACTTATGCTCACTGTTACAACATGAGTACCCATTAACCCTTGCTACCCAGTAAATGGATATATGCTCTCAGATACTTGTCCATGTGCAATTCCTCCCTACAGTGTAGTTTCATTTGGTAATATTGATCCAATCAATATTTGCAGGGGTCAGCATTTATTCAAAAAAAATCTTAAAGGGTGTTTTTCGTTTTGTATCCATGATGGTAAAAAAAAGTGAAGGTTTTAATCTTTTCACCTTTTGATGTTTTCAGTGTGCCCTGATGAATGGGTCTCTGTTTTGTACGAATGCCGAGCAGCTCAGTGGAGCAAAAATCACTAATGCAACAGCTGCAGACAGGATATCGATTTGTTTCTTTGAGTACGAAAATGAAGGAGGTGCTATCAATGTCACAGGAAATTTAACAACAAGGTACACAGCGGCAGCTCCTCCCAGCACTCGCGCTTGTTCTCTTCATACGCCTTCTCAAAAAATACACTCATATTTAATTTGACTGTTGCCTTAATAAACTTTACTTTGAAGTGCAACAACCATCATAGTCTCTAAAGTACAATGAAAGAAGATAAAGCATCCTATGGTTGACTGTATATTAGTAAGCCGCTGTTCCTTTGCAATGCTCCCCCGCTCCTCAACACGAGTGGTGGTTTGCTCTTATGGACAGTATCGCAGAAGAGATTTGTGCTTGGAATGGAATTAATCCAGTGTGAAATCAAGAGTCCAGGTGTACCTCAGGGAAGCCCAGGGAGGACACTCATGATGCTGAGCATCGCGGCTATGTTCAATCAGTGCTCACTGCTCTGCAGGCAACACCGTGCATGCGTCTGCATGAGAAAACATGCCCTTTTTTTTATCCATGCAACAACACAACATTGGTAAAGTTACTGTACTCCTGTTACATTCAAACTATTTAACATCAGATACACTGACATTTCGATTCAGATCAGTTTTTAGCCTCAGCAAACAAAAGCCCCCAGAGTTTCATTAGTCTGCACAAAGGACAAGTTCTTCCTCCCACCGCTTTATTTTTTTTCTTTCTGTTTGACAGCCTTCAGTCAAAATGCCCCGAGGATTAATCGTGGTTCAATCTAGACAAGGTCAAGGCGTGTTGTTTTTCTGCAGCCTATTAATTAATTCTCCTGGCGGTTCAGCCATTTCAATATATTCAGCAACAACATCAAGCGTGGCCCCTGTTTCATTAGCACTGGCTCTCTAGTCCCAGTCACAACCGGGCTGAAGACGCTAACGTGGGCATTAAATGAAGACAGAATGTCTATCGCTGTCCTGAGGGTTGGAGAAAAAAAAAACAGGTACAAATGTACTGTACCTTGTTGGAGGGGCTGAAGAGTCTCGTGTTGAGGTCAGAGCAGAGCCGGCTCAGAGAAGAAGAAATCCTGTAACACAAAGACAGTTCATCAGCTTCAATAATATCACTTAATGTGTGTCACAGTGTAAATAAAAAGGCTGCAAAAGCTGTATCGGTGGATTTTGACTGGCCAGCATAGTTTTGATTTGTGAATATGTACTTATTATAGTGCTTTGTTAATGTCTTTCATTGGCCTCAAACTGCTTACTCTTTTGTCTTGACAACTTTTTCATTTATTTGGAAAATCAATTAGCTTTTGGAGATAGGCAAACTGGCACATCTTGAGAGATAAAGCATTTCAATTAAAAAACACCGATTAGATTAGGAAAATGCCTCCCAAGGCAGTAAAACTCCCATATCATGAATCATGAATCAGCAGGAACATTTTCCACTTACAGAATATTATTTTGGGCTATCGCTCACTAACAGTATAAAGGCACAGCTTTACAACACACAGTAAAAACAGGTAGCCCTCTGAGCTTTTGCTTCGTCTTAATAAATGTTTCATACCCAGAGGTGATATTCAGCGATTAGAGTGCAGCACAAACAAACCTTCACTAAGAGAAGCTAATCCCTCCGACAACAAATGCTTAAACAAATTCAAGGTGGTGAAGAGTTGTTGTTTTTCTGTGACAACCATACAGTGATTTATGAGAGCATTTTAGGGGCAAACATACCACAGACAGCACGTATCCGACCCTTGTTTTAGGACGCCGTCGCAGTCTGTCATTAAATATTATATGCTACATCCATTGCAGTCTGGTGTGACGCAAAACAGCAGACTATTTCTTGTGACTGCGTCTGTGCGACACAAGCAGAAATATCAAACTTATTATTTCCCGAGGAGGACTGCTGTGGTTCAGTGGTAAAGGACATCCATTTATTAGCTATTTCTATTTCTAGTCTCTTTTCTGATCTGATCACATTTGGATGCATTTGGTGATCAGTCTGATTTGCTGAAAACCGAAGGAGAAGAGGACTAGAGAAAAAGTGTTGCTTTACTAATATTGCAGAACTAAGTTACAATGTAAGGGGACTAATCATGACGTTCAGATGTGAGCATTTGCATTACAATGGAATACAAACAAGTTAAACTGAACTTAAGTTGCACTGTATATCTTGATACAACATGGTGGTTCAAGTTAAACTTAACTTAGAGTTAAAATAACAATTTTCTGACTTTCATGATTTTTTTTCAACATATTATATTGCACTTGTAATGAACAACTTATAATTAACAACATTAAAGTAAGTCAGAGAGTAGAAGAACCACAAATATCAAGGCAGTCAGGTAACTTACTTTTCTCTATCTATGCAGGATGAGTCTTTAATATTGATTAGCGTTATCCAGGAAATGACGAATACCTACCATTACCTTCCATTAAAATACCTACAAAACCACTTTTTCTGTCATTGTTGGTCCCAACACTGGTGTATAGGTGACAACCAGCGCAATACATTTGTGATAAAACAACATAAACATCTATTTTGATTTCATGGATACTTTAAATAAGAAAATAATAAAGGAAAAAATATTGCGGCACTGTGAAGGCTTTTTTATGTAAGTGACAGAAAGGTTTAAATAAGTGGTTGTGGCCCAGTCGCCTGTTGTTTTTCTTTTATTCTTCCACATGGTGAGCATTAGTGTTGATATCTGGATGGTTATTGGATGTGTGCCACAGAGCCGAGACCGATCAGTGACCCTAAATGGCCTCAACCCGACCTCTGCTTGATTAGAGAAGCTGGGGCTCCCAAGGGTTTTCAAAGCTCTGATGCAGGCTAAATGTCTGATCTCATACACTCGGAGCATCGTTCTGGGCTTTGTCCCTGGGTTCATCTTTCATTAGCCAGAGGTCAGCTGTGTGATCAGCTGTGTGGTCCATGTGTACATGCTGCAGTAAGTCCACTAATTGCATACAGGTGAATGGGCTCACGTACTCACATTATAACTGCATGTCTTTGTGAAGATCTGCACAGTGTGTGCGCGTGTGTGCAATTCAGATATCAGTGCTATTACAATGCCCTCCTTTTATATGAGAAGGGCTCCTTGGAATCAAATGAAACGACCTATGCTGTGACACAGAGTGACGCCTGAAGCATAATTGGCAGCCTGCAGCCATAATTGAATGCGTCTGTGGTATTCATGAGGGTGGAGCAGTAATGAGGCCTATTTTCCCAGAGTGTTGTTACAAACAGCAAAAACAAGACCAAGATGAACATCTTCGGGGGTAAAGACTTATTCAGCACCAGTTTCTAACACAATCCACAGCAGAGACTTGCATTAAAAAGTACTGTGTGCCGTTTTGGACCACTAGAGGCGCTGTGGAACAACGTTGCTGAGCAGATCACCGTACTGTTTGTATCTTGTTCTACCAGCATGCACACGAAGATGACATGATAACTATTTCAACTGACTGCAAAGGGCGGTAACAGCTAGTGGCTGCGATGCACCTCAATGCAACAAAGTTACAAATAAAAGTGAGGAACAGGACAGCAAGGCAAGAATGGGTCACTCCAACTATTTGTAAATCCATTACTGATTTTGTGTCTAAAGTCCTTTCTAAGTTATTTGTAACTATTAGGTTGTTTCAGACAAGTTATTTACCAAATTATATTTCACCCTGAGGGAATGAGTTAGCTAGACTGTAGTGATGTGCAAATCGGTTGCCAGAAAACATCCGGTACAGCAGTAATATAGTCGCAAGCTAACGCTAGCTTTGTCATTTATCAATTGACAGTTACTCTGTGTAAATATTAGGTAAGAACTTATTTCTCCATTTTCTCCACTTCGTAAACAGTTATGGTACAAATAGTTCAAGTTTGAACTTAATAAGATTTGAGACATTGTATGTTTTACAAGAGAGGAAAGGCTTTCAACGTGTCTGTTAGGCCTTGAGGATATCTTTTAATGGGAAACTGAATTTAGTTGTTTGTTTGCTCCACATGGCACCTTTAACTCTGCAGCAATTTGTTGCAATATGATTCTGTGTACGTAGAACTGCATACACTCGATAACTATGTCAATACCGTGTCGATCCTCGACAGTGCACATAGCTTTGGTAGTTTTCTGAATTTTGGTTCCTTGCCAACCTCTGGTGCTGTTAGGGTCATCTGAGGAGACCTTTTTTTTTTTCTACTGACTGAGCAGCAATTAGTGACTAGCGTAGATCCTCACAGCAGAGTTTGACCGCGGGCCTGTTTTGCCCATGTGCGAGCTAAACCTTTCATTGTGGCTCATGCTGTTACGGTTTCTCAGGGCATGGCTTGCTCAAACAGTAACAGTAGTGCTGACCGGGAGGCCTGAATGCAGCAGGGCTCTGTGAACCAACTTTAGCCTGGTGCATTAGCCTATAGCTCTCCTGTGACACACTTTCTGCTGTGAGGCAGCCACTCTGAGCCGGATCTAACCATTTCACTGCAGGCCCCACAGCCTCACCGCTGCTTATCAGCCGCTCGTCTCTGTCATCTCCCATTCATCTCTCCTTTCTCTATTTGTTAAACTGCCGACGTCTTTGTTTTGCAACTCTGCCTAATTGCTTTCTCATAAACCCTGTACACCCATCTCTTTTCATCTGTCTGATTTTCATCCTTTTTGCCAACATTCACATTAAATCACTCACAAACAGGCATCAAACGCTGACTGATCAAGCTGCTTTGTAAATCAACAAAAAACACTCTTCTCTCCTTAATCCTGTTTTTTTTCTTTTTCACACTGTTATAACAAAAGGCATAAAGCAAACTGTGACTACTCCACTGAGAAATCGATGAGAAGAAGTCTATTTTCAGATAAACAAACATGACATCATATTCCTCTTTCTCCCTCTCTCCTCCTCTCTTACAGTATTAGCATCTCATACACAAGCGTGCACACTTCTGTATCAAATACCTGCAAGTTGTCATCCTTTTCTATTTCCCAGCAGGGCCCTTTAGATACAGATTCAGGCAGTGCATCAAGGGAGTACTGCCTCCATAATCCACCTTGGATTTGGAGGATTCAGCCACTGTCCCTCTCCTGTCAGTGGCAGGAGTATGGCCTCAGCAGGGGTGCTCAAAGGTAATCAATCGCCAAGAGCCAGCATGGTGGTTCATGGCGAGGTGAAGCCTCCGATAAAACCACGCGGGCATCAGATGTGATACACGAGGACAGTCACCTTCCAAAGTGTTTTGGAGAGCACTGTGGGTGAAGCTCGAGGGTGAACTCTTTGTGTCAGAGTGTGATTAAATTAGAGGATGGTTGAGAGGGCAGCGCCAAGGACTTGCTCGATATTTCATATCGCCCCATGGATATTTGATCAGCTTCTCTACCTACAGAAGTAGTGACAGCTACTGAGCAACCTCAAATTATGTTCACGCGCGCACACATGCGAGACACTTTAAAACAATTGCAGTAATACAGGATCCTGTACATTCGCACTGGATGATTACCTCATAATTACACATCAGCAAAACTTATTTCCTCAAAACAACAACACTCAGTTTGCTCTGGAGGACACAAACTACAGGTCAGAGGTCAGTCAGTGTTTCCTCATCCTTTAAGAGCCCACAGTCATCCCCATTGTGCTCAGATATCTCACTAGTCATTGTTACAGTGTAACTGGAGCTGACTCCAGGGGGAATACTACACTCACTTAAGTTTAGCTTTGCTCTGTGAGAACTACTTTCTTGCTCTACTTCATGCTCCATTTCCTGTCCCCTTTAAGTTATCTCTGGCACACTTTACTTCTTTAACTAGTCCAGCATGGATGACAAATGTTCATGAAGACAGTAATGTGCAAAAAGTTATGCTAAGTCATCTGCGTGAGTCATCCAAACTGATCAGATCACATGGACACAAAACCCGCTACAGGACCAGTATCCACCACTAAGAATAAACATCTGCCGACTTATTATTTGTGCCTCTCTTTTGCATTCCATACACTGTAAAAACTGCTTCACTTCCTTAAAACACACATAGACCCTTCTGCCACTTTTTTAGTTTTTCCAAAAGTGAGATATAATGTATTCAAGGAGGGCAGTTAGTGACAGTGT